TCATTGAGGTATTATTAATTATTATTGTTATTTCTTTTTAACAATGTTTACAATAAATTTTTCTTATAAATTTTAGGCTTTACGCGCAGAAAATGTAGCATACGTTGTTGCACCTTATGAAGCTGATGCACAACTGGCTTATCTTGAGAAAAAGAAATACATAGCAGCCATCATAACAGAAGATTCGGATTTACTAGTTTTTGGCTGTAGAACTGTATGTTAATAGCAAAAAAAAAAAATTATCATTTCAATTTATATATTTATATTTGAACAATTTTTTTTTTTAAACATCTCAAATTTTGATTTTTAGGTAATATACAAATTGGAACCCAATGGGGAAGGAATAGAAATATGTCGGGATAAATTTGGAGACGTACAAGAGATTAATCTGCTTGGTTGGATGGATAAAAGTTTTCGACACATGTCAATGTTAGCGGGTTGTGATTATTTGCCTTCGATAACCGGTATCGGTCTCAGATCTGCGCACAAATATCTAAAGAAATATAAAACCGTAGAAAAGGTTAGTCTGAAATGTAAAAAAAAAAAGTATATTTCTTTTTATTTATTTAATATACTTAAAGATTATGAACATTTTAAATAGGTAATACAATATTTGAAGAATAATAATAAAATAAAGGTGCCACCAAACTATGAAAATGATTTTAAAAAAGCAGAATTAGCATTCTTGTATCAACGCGTGTTTGACATTGAAACTGAACGTTTAATCACTCTGAATCCTATACCTAAAGATTTGAACATTTCACCTAATACAGATTATATTGGACCGTATCCTAATTTATTTATTAATTTATTTATAATTAATGTTTCTAAATATATCCTAACTCAAATAATAATAGAAATATAGATGAAAATATCGCTTTAGGTATTGCGATTGGTGATATCAATCCAATAACCATGAAACCAATGATACAAGTGGGAAAAGAAGTGGCTAAAGTGAGGGGTTCATCACCATTTAAAAATGACTGTAGTGAAAAAGGCTCATCTTCATTGAATGAAAATGACCCTTTCACTTGTAATCCATTTAGTTCAAATTATAATTATTCAGGTGCAAATCTAGTAAATCTTCCTTTATTCGAAAAACCGCGCAAAATCAGAAGTCTATGCAAAAAGGTAATTAACCTTTAAAATTTAAAATATTTATTATACCCAGAGGTAATGATATATGTGCGTGTGTATTCATAGGTGCGCGGACGAGGTTCAATATCAACGGCAAACAAAAAACGGAGATTATGTTCTAACACGGATGATAAAAGTACTCCGAGCCCAAAAAGTTATTATCAAAATCATGAAAAAAGATTTGAAATGGAATTAGACAAACTCCGTGTTTTAATAAGATGCGAAGATACATTTTCAACAATTAATTTGGACAGGATGATACAATCGGATCAATATAATCATATTGGATTGACGGGTATTCGAATTTGTTTTGAAATCATTATTCTTGTCCGATTAATAAGATATTGATTTGATTGAATTTTTTTTTTTTATAGAATGCGAACGACTCGTTGCCGAAGGGTGGAGAAACCAATATTTAAGAAAACGTAAATGGGACAAATCTTGTTTTGATTAAATATGAAGAATGATATTTATTATGTAAAATTTGATATTGGTACATAATTATTTATGAATAATATTCATACTCTATAAACTTACCTAGGGTTGAGAATTACTTCTTATAGAGTATAAATGAATATTTCCACTCAATGGAACTTTGGTACTTTTCGTGAAATAGACTATACGATCGGTTATATTAATAAATAATTAGTGACGAACAAAGTAATTTTAAATATTATAATCTACCAAGTCTTACCTCCTGTATTTTTTTCTCATTAAACTCCCATTTCCCACTCTCAACATTCAACATCTCATTATGCCTATTCTTAAAAAAGGTCGTATCATCGGGTTTGTCACCCCTTGATTCTGTATTTCCTGTTTTTGCTTGCAATATTCATTGAGTAAATTTTTCATACGATAATTAAGCCATAGTTTTTTAGTAACATATCTTAAATGAGATATTTAATTAATTGAGTATTCAATTTGTCGTATGTGATAAGTTTCGGCTTGTAGATTTTACGTAACAACATAATAGTTGTATGATGACATCCTATATTATTAATGATTTTTGAGTTGCTGAACCCCAATTTCTTTACTGTAACAATGGCTTTCTTAAATATAAAATTCTTTTAAGAAATTATCATTTGTGCAAAATTGAAAATTAAGAGTATTTTCAAATTCGATTTCATGAATTGTAACATAAATAATTTATTTTATTTATGCAATAGATAATTATTATGATACTGAAAAAACATGGCTCAGTTCTATATGAAAAATTTATTCAATTATATAAATCTTAATCATGCAATACTTTTATACTTCTTAACTAATAATTGATACAAAAACTCTTCAATCAAATATGTTACTATTTTTACCAACACATTTTCTGATCCTTCTGTAACTCTGCAAAATATTTTTTATAAAAGTACATCAGCTCTATCAATTTCCTAATCCAATAATAATATATTAATACAAATCTAAAAAGTTATTAAAAATTGATTTTATTTATTATGAATTCAAAATATACTTTTTTTAATAAGAAATTTATGCTTAATATTTTATAGTATTTTTTTATCTAAAAGATTAATTTACCAACTAATACTATTAAAATTTAAATCAATTATACTAAGAATTAACAAATCATTTTGATATAAATATCATATTTATTCTTTTATAAAAACATGTATATACTAGAAATATATCTATATTTCTTTATATATATTTTTTTAAATTATAAGATTTATCAAATTTAAGTTCAAAAATAATTCATTATATAAATCTATTTAGTTTTCTTTTTTTTTTTTTTTTATTATAATTATAATAATAATTAAAATATTTAAATAAAATTCGTACTCAATATTAATACTTTACATAATTTTATTTATAGATTAAAATAGTTAACTATATTATATATTCAATAAAATGATTAAATTTATATAGAAGATATAATTAAAAAGTAGAAATATGACAAATTAGAGATCAAATAGTTATAATCATAATCATTATAACTGATTATTATTATAATTGATATTAGTGAATTAACTAATTAATTAATTAATCAATTTTAACTGATTTTAATGACCAATTTTAACTAATCAGACGACTACTGATTTTAAGGTTTTATCTATTTGAATAACTATATTTTAATTAGTAAAAAACTATTTAATAACTAACAATATATTTAATTATATATAAATAAAATTTTAAAGTTTTTGAAAAAAATATAAAAATTTATGATAACATTATATATTTAATGACTTAAAAATATTTATATAAAAAGTTTTAATAAATTCTATGCTTATATTATTAAAATAAAATAAAATAAATAATGATATTTAGTTAAATAAATTTTCTAATAAGTCAAAAACTGTTAAATTATATGAATGATCAATCAATTAAAAACCTTTTGAATGACTATTAATTAATTATGTTTAACTGTTACTATATCTAAACAAATTATTATTAATAATTATTACTAATAAAAAATTTTTTTTTTATAAATTTAAATATAAAATATTAGACTATACAAATTGTTTTAATAATATTATACTAGGAAACGAGTCCTAAGCGATTTATTGGACGAAAATCACGTGACGAACAGAGAAATGCTCACATGACCAAAATTTACTCAATGCACAGAAATATATAGTCCTCCAATTCATTCAGGACAATTAAATTAAAATAAAAATTAAGAATTTTATTATTTTTATATATTATAAATTTTTTAACAATTTATATTTTAAATATATAAATATTAGACAATTCAGTTTGTGTAATATGCTTTTAAAACCATAAACTAATAATAATGACAAATATTCTTAATATTTAAGAAATATTATCTCCTAAATAGTAATAAATTTTTTAAACTTACATATTTTTTTTAACTTTAATTTATAATTTTTCATATACCTACATAAAATATTTAACTTTTATTTTATAATTAAATACAAAAAATTACTAATTAATTATAAATAATTTTTAATATTTCTAAAGATTAAATTTAATAAACTATTTGAATAGAAAGGTATCGCTATTTACGTTTATAAGATCAACGTAATTTCAAAATCTTGTATGTTTTAGTAAATAATTAGAGATCATATAAGCTTGGTACTTATTGATTGACAAGCATCCGTTTAATGCTAAGCCATCTAAAAAATTTATAAGTCATGGATTTTCGAACATGTTGACTAGATTTTGTTCCATTGATGAAGTGTATTTGTTGTTGTTATTGTCCGGACTCAACAACGGTTCCCGTTTCCTAGTCTACAAATCCTTTTTGAATGCTGAACATGCAACTGATCTTTTAGGACAGCGCTCACTTCGACCACGGATGATGGACTTTTTAGCTCAGTACCATTATCAGGGTTTTCTATATCGAAAAAAATAAACAATTAATAATTTTGCATTCACACGAACGTCTAAATTCGAAGTTTCTGGTACCTAAAAAGCCTCCAAGACGCATTTACAAACATGACATACGGACATCTGTTGGTTCAGCTGATTCTTTGAGGTGACAGTTTACACAGTAAACTTTCTAACTTTATGTAAAAAAAAAAAAAAAAAGTCGATCAAATAAAACAAAAGATAATATTGCAAAAAATCTTACTAGTTCCTTGGATTCAAACATGTATCATGAGATCTCAATAATGTATAAGCAACTAGCACGGCATTTCTTCTTTTTCTCTGTTTTCACACGTAAAACGCGAAAACTAAAATGTTCAAATCCAAGCGCTTTTTATATTCGTTTGTTAATCCGATTTTATTGGTTAATGAATTTCTGAAGATCGTCATCCTGCATTACGTCTGATCAACAATATTTCTTCGTCGGCACAGAAAGACTAAGGAAAGACGAGAAGGAAATTGAAGGCTGAAAAAAGGACGAAGTGATGAGTCATGGGGGTAATTCTCACAACTATAGCAGGTGAATAATAATTAATATGTAAAACTATTCCATTCTATGACTACTAATTAATTGATTTTGCTTCTAACTCAATAAGATAATTCAAATAAGATCCGTATCCTCATCAATTGTGAATTACAGATTTCAATAATGAAGATCTATAAGTTCCTTTTAATGGATGAAGATCATGATTTATTACGATCAAAAAAAACTGATTTAACAATGATTAATAAGTAACGAAAATAAATTATTATTAAAAAGCTAATTTTAAGATAAAAAAAAAAATAAAGGAACGAGCTAAACTAAATTTGTAAATTTTAGTTTTTTTTTTTAATTTTAAACTATAACAATCTAAACCAAAACCAGTTGATCACATTGTGAACCTACATAAAAAAGTATATTAAAAATATTGCCCTTCTGAAGTAATTTGATTTGAAGATCTTTATTCATTGTGGATCGTATTTCTATTCTGATACAATAAATGTCTATTGTTATATACATAAAAAGTCGTATCAAATTTATCGTACATACACTCATAATAAAATACCGCCTTTTTTTAAAAAAAAAATCATATTTCTGCTCGTTTTAGTTCTAAAATTATGAATCCAGGCTGGATGACTTTAGTTTCTTCTGAAACGGTACTAGTTTTTAAAGACGAAGATACTTTTCCAACTTTCCATGTTTCCTCGGATGTTCCTTCACTAGAAGAACCGGTTATGAATCATACTTCTTGGAAAGAATTGAAAAATGCTACTTTGAGCGAAGACTGTATGAAATATTTTTCTTCAACATACATCATTGTGTTAACAAATTTAAATTTATGAAACAAGTATCAATTTTCCTTTTTTCGTTTATTTGCGTCTAGTTGACAGTATTGACAACGTTGACAATGAGGACAATGAGGACATTGAAGACAATGAGGTCAATGAGGAGGAAGACGTTGTGTTAACTTCAAATGGAGAAGTCAACGCTTCCTCTACTGCATCCAGGTTTAATTATGATGATATCCTTTTACGTGGAATATTTATATATATATACTTTTTTTTTTTTTTTTTTAACGAAAAAATTAATCTTCCTTAGCTACTATTTAAACATATGAAAATATATGGTTGTAAGCCTTTGAAAGACGAATCAGGTATCGTAAATTGTAAAGAATGTTCAAAAAAAGTTTTACCATACGGGTTCATTGACCATTCTGGTATTTTGTACTTTAATTTCTTGTTCAACTGCGTTCATGTTGATAATAATGACATGTTAAATTTACATTTCTTCATTATAGTCAATTGTGAAAAAATAAAAGCCGAAGAATTTGAAGCTGCTCAAAATGCAGATGCATCTACGGATGTTTCGGCTAATGATGTAACAGTCGAGAAATTTGTGAAAACTCCTATCGCAGAAACCTATACTTCGAGTCATTCGAGCAAGAAACGTAAGAAGTCGGTAGCCTCTGAAGGTATATATGAAATTTTTTTTTTTTTTTCGTATCCACCTTATTGAATTCCCGTATTAATGCATACGTTACATTATCATTATGATTTAGCTGAAGCAACTGAACAATTACCTAATGCGAAAAGACCTAATTCTCCGGTAGCGGCTAAAACTTCCGAAAAAAAGCAAAAAGTTAAAAAGGAAAAAGAAAAAAAGAAAACCACAGGACGTAATAAAGGTTGTAACTAAGATTAATTGAACTTTTAAATTAATTAACCTAATTATTTAATCTCAATTTAGGACCTATTGATTTGGACAGGCAATGTGGAGTAATTGTTCCACCGAATAATACACCTTGCGCACGTTCATTGACTTGTAAAAGCCACTCGATGGCTTTGAAACGCGGTGTATTGGGTAGATCACAATCATATGATCTTTTGCTTGCTGCATATCAGAAAAAATCTATTGGACGCCCTCAAAGTAGGTTCACGAAAATTATGAACTAAAATGGAGTTATCATTAAATTATCTAACTTCATTTATGTCACAGATAATGGTATACAAAGTAATAAACAAGACAATGTAAAGAAAGATGGAAAATTGCTTATCCCCGAGAAAGAGGAAGAGGAGATGGTCGATTCCGAAGAAGAAGTTGATGCCGTCATGTCAGCAATAATGTATAGTAATCCTCAGCCACTTGTCACACGACCAGAATCTTTTGTTCCACAAAGAAGTAATTACTTTATTTATAGTAACGATATCCTTCCAAAAGGAATTGCTTAAAACATTCGTTATGGTTAACGATTTTGAATTCTACGTTAATCCCATTTCAATTACGACCTCCAGTAACCTTTCATGTAAGTATATATCGTTTCAAGTAATAATTTTAAAACTTTTATTTTATTTTATTTTATTTTATTTTTTTTTTAAAAAAAAAAAGAAAAGAGCAATACGTATACATATTATTTTAACTTTTAGTTCGGTAACCATTGTTCATTTGAAGAAGATACAGAAAAATCGTCTGGTTGAAAAGTGGTTGCGGGAATTTAAGTAAAGTAAGGTAAAGTCTAATTATAATAACCTTCCTGGACATTTTATTGCATACCGAAAATATTGGACAAATAAAATAGTCCAGGTTAAAAAACAATGCAATCTCGAAAAGATCATTTTATATTTTTCTCAAGTTGGGATATATGTACATCCAACAAACTTGAGATTTGTTGCAAAATTTCTACTTTTATTTCGACCGGAACGGATTCTATAAATAAATTATTGTGTGACCAATCAGATGAGAAGTCACGATTTATGATAAAAAATAAAAATTAATAAAATATAAATATACCTCGACCATCATTTAATATAGAGCTTTCAAGTTGATCTAATTTGATATTATCAATTCCTTTTTCTCTTATGATATCTAAGTTAAAAATTAAATTTACATGAGCTACATATAACCGAATTTATTTTTTTTTACACGTTAATACAAACAAACCTATACAACGTTTTTTGATTTTATCTTTCCATCCACAATCTTTGAGCCTTTTTGTCAATAATTTTTTTAATCTGTGTTAAATTAAAACAATCTAAATATATGTTATAGGTAAAAAAATTCGTTAAGGTTGCTTTGAAAATATACCTGCTCCTGTCTTGCGTTTCGAGAATTCTGCTTTTAAGCTCATTTGCAAGACTTTGTTCATTTCCGGACTCTGACATTGTGAAAAATTTAACAAGAAAAAATGTTCAATGAAAAAAAAATAAATATTATATTGGAATGTAATAATGTGAAACATGTGACGATAACCCTCACGAATCAAGATGCAGGGTCAATGATGGTTAGATATTGATATAAAAATATAAAAACTAGTTTTCAACTTTCGAGAATTGCAAAAAAAGAAATTTATATAAAAAGAGAAAAAAAAACAAAAATGAGCTCACTAACTTCGAGGTATTTAAGGCAAACTTTTCGTTTATCACGCTCTACACTCATTTCACGCAATTTTACTGCGTCTGCACCTGTGAAAGGTAATTGCGATTTATTGAGGTTTATTTTTTTTTTTTTAAAAAAAAAAAATATATTGAAAATAAAAAAACTCTATAATAAATTAGACTCGGTTCAAAAATTATATATAAAAATATTAAAGACTTATACGCCTACTGGAGAGGTAATTGAAACATATCAAAAAATTTTTTTTCAATACATTCATTAACCTAACTTTTTAAAAAGAAAACTGGTTCAGAGGTCGGCCAAGTAAAAGAATTGATTTTGCCCTCCGCCCCTAAGGTAATCATTTTTATTTTTCATTGATCAAATAAATGTTTGATTCTGATTCTAATATTATATATATAACTATCTATCTATAGCCACCAACAGTCGATACAAGTGTTTCTTCAGAATTGTTATCTTCTTATGAAGCTGAAGATTTGCCACCACCCGAAGTCGTTCTTGCAGCTGAATCTTTAGAAAAACGATTAATAGATAATTCTACTGCACACGCTTATTAAATCGTTCATCTTAATTTTTTTTATAACAAATATTTATCATTTTTTGGAATTGATTTAAAAAAAAAAATTCAATTAATTAAAGACATATTTGTTATTTAAATTTTAAATTAATTTAAATTACTTTATTAATCATCCTAATGCAATCACTTTTCTAAGTTCTTCGATTTGTTTTTGATATGCTTCTGTGCGTACATGACTTTTCTTCAATAACGATAACAAGAATTTCACTCGATGATCTACGGTTTCCGGTACATTACCATTACCAAATAACCATTTACCATCTATTTTAACAAATAATGATCCCAATTTTTCAAGTTCATCCTCGTACTTTTTGATCTTATTATTCTCAAGTGATAAAAGATGTTGAGTTGTTTGAAGTTCCATGGTTGCTGCAAATAATCTATCAAGACTAATTTCCGCAAAAGCCGCTTGATAAAGTGGTTTCCCAGGTTTTATAGTATTTGGACGACCTAAATTCATTCAAATCATTCAATTGGTCAATTGGTTAGAGTTTATCATAGAAATATCTTGTCATAGTTAGTTCTTACCATTGAACTGCGTAATAGATATTAGTTCAGCTTGTTCCATAGCTCTAATTTGAGTATCATCTCCACCAAATATCGGTGAAAATTTCACAGAATCATAGGATACCTATTTATAAAAATCAAATTCCATATCAATACCAATATTATCTTTGTTGTTAAGTTTTCACAAAACGATATAAAATATTTAATATCATACAGTTTCCCCTTTCGATAATTTTTTCATTATTTCCCAAAATTGTATGCCACTCCAAGGAATGGTTGTTGCGTCTTCATTGTCGTCACCAAATGCAAGTTTACGGACATCAACTATTGCTTTAACAACAAGCTCTTGCAGCGCATCTATAAATGAATTTGAGAATACAATATTAAATGATGTAGCAATAATATAAAAATAATAGAACATCACAATTAAATACCAATTGGTCTTTGTCCGCTACGTATTTTATTAATAAAGAGTCGCAAGTCCGTTAACCGCCCGCCAAGTGCACCAACGGCTTCTTCCAATCCTTCAAGGTTTTTATCATGTACATGACGCTTTACCAAACTAATGGCTCTTTCATGTGGGGCATCCGAAAGAACAGCATAATGGAATGACTTATTTGGAAGAGCTAAAATAAAAAGTATAAAATTAAATTAAAAAACTTAGGATGATAGAATGTTAAAAAATACACTTACCTCGACTTAGATGCTTGATAATTCCTATATTTGAACTTACAAACACTACATGCGCAACCCTATTTTCAACAAGTAAAGCAGCTAATTTTGCCAAATGATCCCATAACTCGTGACTTTCCTTATCCTTGGTCATGTAAGCATCAATTACTATAATAGGAATTTCTGCCGGGTCATAAGAATCAACTATAGGAGCTTCAAGATAGTCGTGTGGTTTTTTCTGATTGTACCATGACTTCTTGGTTAATGATTCAGGTGCGATATCATGCAAAGAAATTGCAAGTGCGTCAAGGATTTTCTTAATTTCAGTATCAGTTGTTGAAGAAAACCCAACTAAAAATAAAAACTTTAAATGGTTAAACTTTAAACAAGGTTTTCATCAATAAAAATTATCAATACCCGTTTTCTGCCCTATAGTTGCGCTGGCAAATCCATCAATCAAATTTGAAAGAGTAACCAAGAGAGTGAAAACAGGGAAATATCCCACTTGTTTTGCTAACTTTAAGACAAGTTCGTTTTCATCCCGAGAATTGAGGATAACATCACATTTTATAAATACTTTATTTCTATTAATAAAATATTAGTTCAGATAATTGTTAATGCAATAATAATAATAATAATAATAAATTGGTCACCTCTTTGTTTGTACAACTTTATTAATCAGGCCACTTTTACCGCTGCCAGTTGGACCAAGTAAAACAATAAACGTTTCTAAATTGATATATCAGTCAGTTATTGAAATCATTTCACATGACATTACATAAAAAAAATGTACCTGGTGGTTCTTTTAACCAATTTAGCAATTTAGCTTCTTCCTGTTCTCTTTCTTTCCAAGCACTCAGATCAGCGAAAGATTCATCTTCGTCTTCGGACGTTTCACGAAGAGCCCTTACTCGATCAATTGTCTCCTTCCTAAGCCATTGATACAAACGATATTCCTGAATGTTGAACCGTTGTGTGACTTTTGATGTTATGAAGAAGACGCGGATTGGGTCAAAACTATAGGTTTTAATTAATTTATTTAAATTGCCTAATAATATTATATTTATAATTGAAACTTAAAGACAATAAATGAATTACATGGTATAAGTTATGAAAGCAATTGAGGCAGCAATAAGTGGAACCTTTAAAGCAGCACAAATTAGTATATAAATACAAATATAACAATGTTTGAATATCTCAGAAAAATAAATAACTCACCGAAATCCTCGGATGAGCTGCCATCCAATTATAAACTTGATTTGTTTTCTATTCGATTTCCCAATATCAATGTAAATGAAATGAATACTACCATGTATTTGAAAAAAAAAAATATATATATATAATATATTATTTGTTAATTGACTACTATAAAATTCTTACAAGAGGCATATCATATATAATATTCAATCTTGTGCCGTTCACAATTACTCCATGTACGCAATTTTTGGCACTAGTAGCTGATCGCATTCTCGAGTATAGTACCATTACGTATCGTGGAAGATCTTTAGAAGATGATGGTAATAAAGTTATGTCCCGAATTATGCCATATGGTCGGAGGTAATTATAAAGAGTTTCCTGGTAAGATAATTCAGTTTGGTTAACATCTAGTAAATTTTGTTATACGAAATATAAAGATAACCCGTACAATTGAAACATCTGGTCCTTGAAATTCAATACGTAAACGGCTGTATGTTGAATAAACACATTAATATATTGAAAGATTGAATAAATCATATAAACATATATATTTCTCTCTAACCTTGCAGGGTATCTATTAGTTAAATCTTCAATAAACGGTTCTCCCTGATGAAAAGGGTTAATTCTCGGAAGCATTATATATATATTATTAAATTACCACAAAGAATATAGATATAATATATATATATAAAACCTTGACCAAATATGCCTTGGTTGGGCGAACGTTGAACCATGGTATAATATTTTTGTCTTTCAAAAAAGCCTGTACATTTTGACTTATTTCCTCCAATGCCTTCTCTCTTTGAACCGGATCTACTCGAAAAGTAAATTTAACCAACATTCCACCTTCCTTTTTTCTAATATAATAATTCGAAAATTTTCTAATTAATTATTATTACATGAATTTTGAATATATTTCAATTAAATACCTAGGTTCTACACCTTCGACTTTAAACTTATATGGCATTTCAGCCTCAGCAGGAATCCATCTTCCTGCTTTCAATTTCTTTTCTAGCCTTTCTCTATTCGACCTAACAAGAAAATGCCGAACATCAAAAGACCCTATCTTAAGAGGGTATATATTATCATAGTAAAATCGACCATGCTCGACTTTTACAACCTATTAAATGATAACTTTTAATAAAACAATTTGATTCTAGATAATTTTTATTATAAAATATCGTACCGAAGCTGTTTCCGCTGCTACTTCAGAAGCTCTTTGTATAGAACGAGACAAATTTAAGGGTAAATGAGTACATTTGCGAGAAAGTATTATCTTTGAAATTCTCGTTTGATTTTGAAGGATTCGAAACATTATTGATGCGGAAAAACTTTTGTTTGGCTAAAGGAAGAAATTCTTTATAGGGTTTTGGTTTTTTTCATCGTTTTTGGTTTTGGTTGATTGGTTGATTGGTCAGATCTTTGTAATCAAGATCTTGAATATTTCTTATGTAAGCAAAGTTATCATAAATTCAAACCAATTTAAGATGTGTACTTTGCTGTATACAGTCCTCTCTAAATGCACATATAGTAATCATATAAAAAATTTCTTAAATGCACATTTTTTAAAATTTTCACTATGGTCCCAAGGGGGAGCATTTAGAGTTGACTGTACTATTAGGAAAGGTTTGCGACTTATCCATGTTCTCTATAATAAGTTATTAAGAATGAGAAATTCTCAAGTTTTTTGAGGGGACTTGATTAGGAACAAGTGGTGTATTTTCGATGATTATAACATTCCCTCACAATATTAAAAGTAATCAGACGAAGAGTGAATTGAAGGACCAAATCTGTCTTGAACAACTTTAGTATGTTGACTTGACACTTAAAAATTAAATCAAAAATTAAAGAAGAGCAACTCGATTGGACGTGTAATATCTTGGATAAGGAAAATCTGGAAAGCTCAAGTTTAAGAATATTCAATGTTTATCCTGCATGCATTAAGATATTTTTTCTTTTTACCGCATTAAAATTTCGTAACCGAAACTTACGAGGAACGAAGTTTTAATAATATTATTAATTTGAGGTTGCTTACTCTGAATGAATGCTTTTCTTACATATATAGCAGATCGGTAACTATCTAAACTTACTATAGCAAATTATAAATCTAATTATGCTTACTTATCTTACTTTTTTGACATTTATTCATGTTATAATTTTTAAGAAAATGATTTAATCTTAATACTTTTTAGGATTGAGATAGCATAAGTTATTTGTCTAATATAAATTTATGTTAGTAATATCAAAAAAAAAATATCTGATGTTTAATATATAATAACTTATATATTAAGTTTTATTTTATTTTTAATTGATCAAAATAAATTAAAATTATTAGAGTATTAATTTAAAAGAGTAAATTTATTCATTGCAGGGGGGGGGCGATACTCCTTATACATCGCCTTTATATATATATCCCTTACCTAACCTACCCTAATCCTAAACCATGTGACACTAATCTAGGTGACAAATAGGGTACCCAGAATATATACAAAATGAAAAAGGGAGGGTGTGACACTGGGGTGTTCCATCAACTATGAAAACCAAAACATTAAGTATCATTATAAATATCTTCTCACTAAAATCTAGACTTTAATAACTTTAGATTCTTCTTAATATCTTCGCTCCAAATTTTACAATAACATTCTAAATTATTGTCTCTTTCATGTAGCAACTCGTTTTTTCTATCAAGAAATAATAAAAATTTTTTTTCTTTGTTGTTTTTCCAAGAAAGCGAGGTGTCACATTTTTTTTTAGGTTATAAATTATTCATTTACAGTTTTTTTTTCTGAATGCTAACATATACCGAAGAATTAAACGTTAAGATTTAGAATTTTTTATTAGGAAAATCGTAATAATAGTAGCAATTAATTAGGTTAACAATGTTTTGATTTACATAGTTGATGGAACACCCCAGTGTGACAAGTGTGACACGGGTGACGTCTGCGATGAATAAATTATTTCTAATATTGCGATAATAAAATTTTATATTAACCGATTAATTAACCGAAATCTTAATTAACCGTTACTTTCCCACCCTACACAAAAAAAAAAAAATTTTCGGGACTGCCGATCGATCAAAAATATAAGAACGAATATTCCCAATCTTTATAATAAACATTCTCGGATATATAGGGTTTTTTATTTTTGAAATTAGCTGTATCAAGAAAATGGAAAAAAAATCTGCGAAAGAAATGAAAGAAATGACAAAGGCAGAACGTCGGGCAGTTCAGGAGCGTCAGCGCGCAGAAAAAGCTGCACGCGCCGCTGGAGGAACAACTACAAAGAAGGGCTCGCAAGGTTCTGCTACCAGTGTTGTAGTAGGTTCCACTGCCGATTCTGGTTTTGCACATCAGGAATTTTCATTTACACCTGGTGATTCTAAGCATAAAGAAAAACAGCAAAAAGAATTAAAGAAAGAAAGCAATAAACAGGTTGCACTGTTCTCTCATTTAGAAATCGCAAAAGGTGCTAATACAAGTTTAGATATTCATCCCGCTGTTTTAGTTATAGGATTACAAATTGCCGAATTTAAAATTTGTGGAGCCAATGCCCGCTGTATTGCTACTCTAACAGCTTTTAAGAAGGTTTGATAAATTACCAAATTGAATGTCGTAACTTATGTTAAAACTAGTGGCAGCAGCTAATAAGAAAATTCTTGACTTATTTAATTTCTTTTCACAGGTAATTCAAGATTACAAAACACCGGAAGGGACAACTTTGTCCCGTCATTTGCCCACTCATCTATCTCCTCAGATAAAATATCTGGTAAATTCAAGACCTATGTCAGTTGGCATGGGTAACGCAATTCGTCATCTTAAATTGGAGATATCTACGATGGATATTGATTTAGCGGATGATGATGTATGCCATTCTAAAGATATTAATTTAAATCGCGTAATTCTTGAAATTATTCATTATTAAAGTAATGATTTTTTTTTTTAACTTACTAGGCAAAGCGTTTATTATGTGAAAAAATTGACAACTTTATTCGCGATCGTATTACGTTTGCAGATCGTGTTATAGTTGATTATGGTTTACAGAAAATACAGGATGATGATGTGATATTAACATATGCTAGGTGCATTTAATTTCTTATATAACTTTTTTAATTCATATACTGGTAGCCAGTTCTAAAAAGAAGTTGCAAATATTAAGATCATCGGTTGTACAGGCATTGTTATTAGAAGCACGAGCAAAAGGGATACGATTCAAAGTCATCGTTGTGGATTCAAGACCTAGACTTGAAGGTAATTAATTCGTAATCCGCCGATCATGTTAGCAAATCTATAATTGATTCCCAGTTTTTCTAATAAAATGGTAATTTCAATCATATCATACTAATGAAAATTTTGTATTTATTAACCAAATTTCATTAATGTATTATTATATAAAGTATATTTTGTTTTGATAGTTTCATTCTGCAATTTTCTTTGAGGGCATTTCTAGATTCCGAAATTAATAGTATACCTTATATAGATTATTAAACATGGTCGGCGGAATGTGGATTCAAATTTAATAATTTTATCATCTCGCTATTTTTATTAAAAACATTATGCATTTAATAACTTTTCACCGTAAATTTCAAGGTAAAAGACTTTTAAAGCGCCTTGTAGATGCTGGAATTAGTTGTACATATGCCTTTCTTCATGCAGTTGGGTTTGCGTTAAAGGATGTTTCAAAAGTTTTTCTGGGTGCACATGCTTTCATGTCAAATGGCGCGCTTTATTCGCGTGTTGGTACCGCGATGGTAGCAATGATGGCAAAGGAAAAAAATATTCCTGTAATCGTATGTTGTGAGACATATAAGTTCACGGAAAGGGTTCAACTAGATTCATTCGTTATGAATGAACAAGGTAATATGAAAGAAATGAGGAAAATTTGAACTTTATACTAATGCTATTTTCCGAATATTTTTTTCCTGAGTTGTAATTTTATATCATTTCTAGGAAATCCCGATGAAATGGTAAATATTTCTACAACTTCAACTCCAAAGATTGGATTGTTGGATGGATGGCTTCATAAACCGGATTTAAAACTTTTAAATTTGTTGTATGATCTGACTCCTTCAAAGTATATTACAACTGTAATTACAGAAATTGGCATGATCCCATGTACCAGCGTTCCTGTGGTAAGAATAATTTCTTACGTACTTATATGTGTTCTTCGTTTAAAAAGTTTTCTTAATAAATTCTATATACTCATATATATCTACACTGAAGATTCTAAGAGAATACAAGCAAGCATAAATTGTATAATCTGATTATTTATCAAGATCTTAGATTTGCTAATTTGTTTTGTTTATCAAGGCCAAAAGTTACAATAAATAACGTCACTCGTTGGGCTAATATATTGTTATTATAAAGATGTTTTATTATTTATACTTATAAATTAAATTTATGTTATTTCTAAAAAAAAACTTATTATATAAATAAATCATAAAGTATTAATTTTATCCCTGTATGTTATGTATTACAAATGTTTATATTATACAGAAAATTACGCTACTATATGATAAAAAACTTGCCACGCTAATCAATATGAAATTATCATATGATATTCTCTACCCTTAAATTCATGAGCAATTCTTGTTAGTTAATTATAACCAAAAAAGAATAGATTACAAGTGTTTTAATGATCATCAGTCAGGACTTTATGGATATTTGATTCAAAAATAAAATAAAGAAGCATAAAAAAATATGTATTACAATAATACAGGTTTCAAATAGGAAAATAAATAGAACTCTTTTTTACTCTATAATAATAAATATTTATTTTTATATCATATAAACTTAAGCCACAACTCATAAAAACTATGCCTAGATACTTTCTTCAGAGTAAAAATTATGTGATATCAAAAGATATTATGATCTAATTAAAAATTATCCTAATGAGTTTGGAGAAACACTTAGGTTAGTAATTTAAAGATCTCGTTTTAAAGTAAAAAAAAAAAAAGGAACTTGAGTCTCTATTAATATTTGATGAATATAGAAGTGGTTTTCCAAATGTAATACATAATTTTTTTGAAAGACTTTTAATACTTATCCAAATAAACAAATGGAAAGTTATTAAAAAAATAAAAGTAATGAAAATAGGAATTTAAGAAATTTGATAAAATACGAGCAATTAAAATTTTAGCTTTTTAATTTAGTTATATTTATAGTAACATTTTTCAGAATCAAAATTTGGTTAACACATGTTATGAGTAGTTTATGTCAAAATCACAATTACACTCATTATTATATGCCATATTGTGTATGGCTAATATTGTTTTACAAATAGTGTTTTAATTTACTTTACTAAAACCATTATCAGAAA